GGGTCGCCGCAGTGGAGCAGCGTTTCTTGTGACCAAGTCTCATTCAACAGACACAGCCTGCCTGTAGCAGTTGACACCCGAGTTGTTTTGGCGCCAGGAGGCGGTGGCGCGAGTTGGAGATCCAAAGGGATAGTAAAAAACTGTTTTTTTGAGTTTTAAACTCAGTAAAAAACAGTATTTTACTCGGCCAGTTTTCGGTTTTTTACTCAATAATAGCTGTAAACCGATTATTTCTGCAAGAAGCACCCGCACCCCCCAAAAATGAGTTCTTAGACCAAGTAAATTGTACTTGATCCTTGAGTTTTCAAGCTTGTATGTCTTCACATCAGTGATATGTACTTGAGAAATCAATGATCAAGTACAAGAAGTCACGCTGATGCCCACTACCCAACTAGAGAGTCTGTCTATACCCAACCCATCGCATTTGTTATGGGACAATTAGTCGTGCTCCGAAAACTCAAGTGTCATATAATATCACACTTTTAAGTGTAGTGCCATGGTGTCCTACTGGTTTAAGTGTAGGACCAAGGTGTACTGCAGTTAAAGTGTAGGCGAGGAGGCTATAACTCTGGGAATCACGTGTACACACACACTCCGGCCCGGGAACCAGCGGAAATCAATGAGAATTACGACGGGAATCATGGAATTATGTGCACACTTAGATTTATAGTTATTGCCCCCACGAGTGTAGGGCTGGACGTATCCTAAAGTTGAAAGTGTAGGACACCTCTTGTACTACACTTATAGCTGAGGTACAATGGTGCCCTACACTTTTATCTTGGAACACGTCTGTCCTACACTTTAAACTGCAGTACACATTGGTCCTACACTTATAAGTGCAGTTAAATCAAAAGAGTTTAAATAAACATCGTTCTGGGAACTATTTTGAAAACAAGACGAGAATTCAAAAAAACAGTTTTTTACTGTTTTTTACTCGGTTTTTTACTGGTTTTTTACTTTCACTTCAAAAAAACGGTTTTTTTGGATCTCTAGCGAGTCGATAGTTAAATATAGTCGGCGGTGACTTAACGGCGTCGTAAAGGCGCGGCCTTGTCGTGCGCTCCTATCTGCAGGACGGCCTTCGCATAATGCCAGGCCCCCAGCAGGTGAATCGGTAAAACAACAACAACTCGACGTTTTTTACAATTTCCCATACGATATACGGTGTGGGGAAATGGGTGTGGTGCGCGAAGAAGGCGGTGCCGGTGTTTTCAAAATACCATATTTTGCACATGAGAGAGGGAGGGGACGCCAAAACAGTCGGTTTGAGCATGTTTAAAACATTCGCAAAGCGTAGCGAGTTCGTTTGAATCGCCGAGGCTTTCCCGCCGTTACACAAGTACCCTGAGCACCTCCATCCAGCGGGATATGAACCGGGGACGGGGTCGAGGACTCGCGGGGTTGGGTTGTTTGGGGGAGGTCGGCGGAGAGAGAAGACTTGTCTTTTGTTGGGAGACATCATCCACGCGGACAACTTTTCAACTCGCCCTGCCGACGCCAGAGCGCGCTTGTCGTGGAGCTGTCGGACAGTGGCCGTAGAGAGAGGGAGAGAGAAAGAAAAGTACGGGGGGGGGGGGGGGGTCGTTCGCCGCTATGCAGTTTTGCAGATCTGCCCCGTCTGGCCTACAGATGTTTTGCATATCAAAAGCCGCAAAAGCCAGCCCCGCGCGGCGAGGGCCAATACGCGTGCCACCGCCAGCACTGCTGTCGTGTTTTACATAAATTCGGGCCAGACAACACGCCCCCCGTGCGTCATCTCTCTCTCTCTCTCTCTCTCTCTCTCTCTCTCTCTCTCTCTTCCCTCCTCTATTGGCCCCCACTCTGTACTCTGTACCCCTTCTCTCCTATCAGCACAGACAACACGACAATCACACTAAACGTACGAGATTCGGGTACGGTACGATACGATTCTACAGATTCGCCCAGTTAGAATATGTAATACGAGAAAAGATGTAAGTTACTCTGTTAATAAAAAGGAACCTACAGCATTCACAACCGTTTGCAACTGTTTGTATCAGAGAGTCTTAATTGTTTGTGGTGCTTACTCACGCCACCATTCCGTCCGCATCTGGGCTGGGCTCGCGGACCCCCAGTTTCCATCTCCCCAGGTCACACCAATAGCACGGCTCCGATTCCGAATCGGGCCCGGTGGCGCGAAGCCAATTATGATTTTGTTGAGTGCACTCGAGTTGGTTCGCATTCGGAATAAAACTCGATCTTTCCCCAACGTCAACCACTACAAAAGGCGACTTATTCATCGATTGGTAGTCGTATCAATATTTTTCCAGCGTTTCTTTGCGATTTTTCACTTTGCCTGACCGTGTCAACCCCTGTAACTTCCATGGCTGTGGAATGAGCTCATTCGAGCGTCGTTTCCCAGCTTGCCCTTGCTATTTTACGGGCAGTTTTTCACCTTTGCTGACCGCCTTCCCCGCTCGGCACGAGAGCGCGTCAGGTGGGGGGCAGCACTGCCCGGCGTTGGCGGGACTACCCCGCGCGCAGGCGGCCCCGGTGGCAAGGAGTAGCGCCCCACCCCTTCCGTCGTGCCCCTCGCCCGCCCACCGCCAGACCGTGCGCTCGGCTGTGGTCTCGGGAGGAAGGAGGCTCATTCTAGGCCCATTCTGAAGCTGAAACTGACGAATGGAGCGCATTTTGGGGCCCCGCGCTCCGCCGCACGCCAGATAAGCCCGTGATGTGTTCCTTGGGGAGGAAATGAGACTGGAAGTGAGACCCTACAATGCAGCACGCGTGAGACCCTCGCACCCAGGTAACACGTGCAGTATTTGTTTCCTTCCCCCCTTTTTGCTGCGTCCTATTTTCGTAATGTCTCTTTCTCTTTTTCCTCATTTGTTTTGAAAATGTCGGAGAGAATGGTCCGTTTTTTTCCTTCGTGCCCCTTAAAAGAACCGGAAAAATGAGAAGGGGAATAGAGAAGGTGTTCTGTGCGTCTCCATCTGTCCCGAGGAGGATTAGTGATGGAACAGGTGCTGAGCCTAGCCTAGCGGCGGCGCAAAGGGGAGGGGCAGGGGGTGGAGTTGTGGCGCAAACAACAGCTGTGCTGTGTTCCTCGGGAGTAATAAGCTTGCGATTAGCACTGTTGCAGCATTGTGCTTCCGCAACGTGCCGTTACACTGCTTGGCTGTTTTCCTGATTTATCATTGTTATTGTTTGTATTTGGCATTCACAATCTAGTGTTTCTGAGTCTTCACATTACATTGGGCATACATGATGAGGGTGTTACTCTGAAAACTCAAGTGTGCTTACAGTAACTAAAATGCAATACCAGGTTTCTTATACCTGCAACGATTACAATACCACATGTGTATCACACTACTTACAAGTGTAGGATCAGACAATTTCACATTTACTAGCGTGAAACCGTACTTGTCTCACAGTCAAGCGCGCTGCAGGTCTAAGGGTTGTTAGTGCAAGACACATGTGGTCTCACCGAGGACCGCCGAGGACACTATTTGAAAGGCTATGGCATGCGGTCCTGCACTTTTAAGTGTGAGCAAGACAACTCGTACAACTATGTTACACAACTGTAACATATTTTAGTTTCCAGAGCAGTTGTCTGAGTCATACCTTCCGTGTTTTAAATATGCACATGTATCGCCCCCAAACTCTTCCAACTTTTTCCACGACACGGTGATTGGGTGACCTTTTACACCACCTTGCAGTGCAAGCGACCTCGCCCCCTCCCACTACGCGGAACCTTTGTCGGCCGGTCACGTTCTGTATTCGCCCCCTCTCCCCCCTCTTCAACGACTCCCTGCCTCTCAGTGTGTCTCAGCCAGCACTTCCCCCGCAACTTGGACGCTCTAATTTTTGTACTTTTACCACCAGCCTTGGATACTGTTTTCGCAAACGTTAAGAAAGTTTCGTCTAATATTTTTCCTGCGATTTCAACTTATCTCACTCTAATAACTCTTCTCACGGCTCGTTTCTTAAGTTTAGGGACCTCTTGCCCTTCTTTCAAGGTCTAGTCGTAAGCAGCAAAAGGGGCGTTGGGACAAAATAATGCGCCTCTGTAACTATCTTTGTACAACCTTGGATTGGAGGAGCGCCTTTCCTCGGATTCCTCACGTTATCTGGTGGCGCTCTGCCGTGGGCAGGGCATGGCCTTATCGCCAACCCCTACGCCCCCTAAAAGGACGCTTAACGGACTCGGGTACGATTTCCACGATCTTCTAATTAAAAAGCCTTTTCATGGGTTATTTTCGTGAGGCGTCCCCACCTCTATGGAAAATACAAGGACAAGCGCAAGCCGTTCGGGGAACAGAAAGCTAACGACCGAGGTTTGTGGCAAAAATGCCTCACCCCCTAAATTATTAGGACACACAGGAGCTACATACTTTCTCGTGCACCTCTACCTTGTTGAACACTTACAAGTAAATTGTAGTTTTATTTGGAGAAGAGCTCCAAGTAATCGGACCTGCCCCCTTCGTACGCCTTTCTCTTTCTCTCGCTCTCCCTCGTCCACAGTTTTCCCCCCACAATCGTCATTTTTTGCTTTGCGCCCCTTTGTTCTCCGAGAGCAAGAGGGAAGGTAGTTTAGAATGTATGGCTGCTATGCTATTTCCGCGCGCCAGGAAGCGACCAGACCGACCCGAGCCCGAGCCTTGTCTAATCTAAATTGGTCAAAGTTGTTGCTGCCGTGCTTGAGGGGTTCGTAAACTCTTTTCTCCCCTTTCGGAGCTTTCAGTCGCGGGCGGGGCACTCCCTTCTACTTCTCTACTGTTCTCCCTTCAGACTCTTACAACATTTTGCCAATTCACTGACCAAGTCGCTCCTACCATACTTACACGTAAGTGCGCAGGGTGCCTCTCGAGAGGGTTCGACTCGACAAACATGAACACGAGAGGATCGGTCGACCAATGGTCGGACAAGACAGAAACGCGAATAGGAACATTGCCAAATGGTCACATCAAATTGAGTAAAATGTAAAACACTCACTATGACTAAAATGTTTAACAATGTCAATTGCTTGTCTGTTGCAGAGAGCCGGAGCGGCGTGCGAGCCACGGCGGCGTGCCCTCTGCTTGTTCGCCTGTCGCTGCCGGCGGCGGGCCTGGAGGGGGCTCCGGGGGCGGCAGCCATGCGGCGGCGGCGGCGGCGGCGGCGGTGGTGGTGGCCGGGG